AATTATCTTTTTTGTACAATTTTAGTTTTAAATGTTTCTTCTACAAACTCTTTCAACTGCAGTGATTTAAGATGTGGCCAAGACACAAGCTCGATGTGACTTCTAAAGCAAGGAGCAGCTCAAGATAATAAATATTTGGTCATCCTTTCTATAACTGGATATATCGTAGGCATAGTTTGATGGGGCAACACAAAGTTTGCGTACTGCCCCATCGAACTATAGCTTCATTAAGACATAAACTACACAACGGGCTTTAAGACGGTTTCATCAATACACAGAGTAATTCAAGAGTCCAATTTTATGTCTAATGTGTGATTTCATTTAAGATTTATCCTCTCTTTTTTTCTGTCCAAGATGAAGAGAAAATAGTCTATTAACATGTCAATTTGTTTACTTCTGTTATCATAAAAATTAAGATGTTTCTTCGTAAATATGTGCTATTGACGATATTTTACTGTACAATTTACGCACAGATTCCGATTTTATCTATATGAATGTGAATGCAAGACTTTTTAAAACCCCACGATCTATATTGAACGTCTAAAAGTTCAATCAAGTTAAAATCTGGGCTCACATTCATTGGATGGAAAGTTTTAAACCGGAGAGTAATTAGCACAAGTGCCAATCCTGGTTTACTGCTATTAACCTGTGTTTTCACGTTCAAAATCACTAAATCGATTTACGTTTTAATAAATAAATCGTTTATATATTTTTTTAATAGAAACCATTTAAAATTGTTTTATATTTGTTTTTAGCTATTTCACTTGATATTTGAGCAATGTTTATGATGGTCTCTGATATTTGCGTTAATTACCTAAAAGACATTTTGCCAAGTTTTTTGAGTTTGATACTTTTGCAGCCAGATCATATGCGAAATCAATCGTATAAAAAAAATGAGGCTCATTTAGTTTGCGATGCAGATGTTGAGCAACTTTTGCAGGGGCCGATCATAGAATAGGTGACCGATAAAAAAATCTCTAGAGCAGCTCTTTTTTAGCAGCTGCAGTACAGCTGGGACAAATGGCTAATGCAGTACACCTGGCCCACGTCGTTATGGCCTGTGCTCTAACAGTGGTGATGGTGGTATTAAAGCGCTGATGATAATAAATTTAAAAAAAATGTCAGGTGTCATTGTCAGGTGTCATTGTCAGTTTATTATAGCATGACTAAGCCGGAAAAAGAGGGGAAAGCAACAAAAACAAACATTGCCCCTTCCAAAGCTTGGAGTATTAAATTTAAGCAAGTTATGATGCTTTCTAAAGATATAAATATCCACTAAGTGTTCTAAGACTTAAGGTAAAATTTTATAGGTTCAATTAATTGGCTGGTATAAAAGTTTTCATTTAACCGGCATCATTGAGATGTTCTGTTTTAATCTCGAGATCTTTATAGGGCTTGAAAATTTCACATTAAAAGTTTCTGAGTTTGTTAACTACATTTATAGATGGGTACTATTTTTATAATTTCAAGCTTTTATTTTATTTACTTCCCATGTTGTTGGTTAATTTCTTAGTGCGGATCAAATCTTGCAAATAAAATCTAATCCACTTCACGGTTTCAATTAATTTGAAATTATACATATATATACATCTATCTCTCTATATCTTCACGCCGTATCCCTGGTGGGGTAGACAGTGAGGACCGAATGCCACAATGTACGGTACAAACATATGCTCAGTTTAAAATGCAATTTTAATATGAAATGGAGGTTATCTGATACTGGAGCGGGATAGTAGCCATGGGTTCTGGATTAAACGAAGCAATACCACCGAGTTTAGAATCGTTTAATATATGTTGACAATAACTTTGGTCCTCGATAATATACAGGATCTTTTGAAAAAATCGGAAGGTGACCATGGAACTTTTTCATTAGGTAATGCAGGCTTTTTGTGTATGGGCTCGTTAGATTCCACAATCTTATAGTAAGAACTTAAGATATCACCTTAATTTAAAGATTGACTATAAGGACTTCGTGAGATTAGGAGGAATGAACAATCAATAGTTATTAGAGGAGTGAAGGGAGAGATCATGCGTAAATGGGAGAAATTTAAAGTGCGACCATGGAATTGTTTTCAATCCCTGTTAACTGTTGTATAAAGTAGAGAAATGAGAGCATACCTGTGAGATATGCTCTTAAGTGAGAGAATTAGGATCTAAGTTGCCTACAAAAACCAGAAACATGGTCATTTGCACAAGTCAAATATGAACCGTACTGAAAAAAATTTAAGACATTCAAGCTTATTGAGAAGATCAAGTGTTAGATCAGGGCATAACATGCGTCAGCATAGTCAAAAAACAGTCAAAGGAAAATAAAAAGAACATCCTGTAATTAAATCTGAGTTTTACTAGGATTAACTTAAGTACCAAAAAATACTCCACTGGAAAATGCGCACCTCTTGATGCACACCAAGTCTGGGTTAATAGCATTAATTGCATCATTAAGTCGCTCTAAGCACTCTTTTAAGTGAATTTGAAGATCATCTGCATACAAGTGATAGGAATAAGAGAGTTATAGGGTAATAAAATTAATAAAAATATGAAATAATAACGGAGACAGCACACCGCCCTGAGGAACACCGGCGGTCATGTAAGTATGTAACACAGGTACTGAATTTTTAGCACGTATACGTTGTTGGCGAACATGTAAATAACTACGAAACCAATCAACCACCGTTGTGAACGAAGTATGCCTAACAAGTCATCATCATCATCAGCCCTTTAACGTATCCACTGCAGGGGTTCAGGCCTTCATTATGGGCGGTTTAGGAAGAAGGGCTTAACGTGCCTTCCAAAGCACAATGTAGCTCGAGATAATAATTTTTTGGTCACCCATTTCATGACGGGTACGGGGACACGCTTGTTCACTACGCCACCGAGCAACTCAACTATTTACTATAGATACAAGTATTCACATTTAATCCGATAATACTTAGTGTATATATAATAGAAATAACTTAACTGTCTCATCTCATTGGTTACATTTCGTATTAGCGCCGTACTAAATGAGTTCGAATTGAAGAGCTGTAGGAGAGATAAAGGAGTGTTCTATTAACAGTTCTATTGGCAATGCGATTTACGATGGTCCGGATCAAATAGATTCAACTAGATTAGGGTAAAAATAAATACAATTTTATATATCTCTAGTGAACTGAAACTTGATTAAAATTAAGATTGTTTTTTTAATACGCTTCCCGTCTATACAGTATAAGATCACTGTTTAAGCTGTTGAGATAAACCACAATAATTACAATTTCAACATTTCTCCAAATAAATATCTTTACATGTTTTTAAGTATTAATACAGTCCCGAAAATTCTAAACCTTCAGTTACGATTTATCAAAGTGTAAAAAAAACGATTGCCGTCTTAATTTAATTACAAATAAATAAGTTTAATGGGCTAATCCACTTAAAACAGTTTACAATCAAATTTAATCCAAAATTAGCGAATCATTTAACGGGAATTTCCAAGACTTAAATTCTAAGAAGTTCTTAAAACTCCGGACCGAAATGCGTAGGAAAATCAAAAATGGATTGCTAAGTACTCGCATCAATCAATTTAAGTAATTGCTGAAATTAAATTGAATTAACAAAAGAGAAAATTTCGGTACTGATTTTAGAAATTTCAATGTGACTACTGGTGGATTTAATTCGGTTCCATTGTCATCTTTGCGTTTTTCCGGGTCGATGCATCAGCTGATTGTCATCTCGTATAAGTCGCAAAAGCCGAACTTAACGGGATAATAATATCCTTTATGTAGGCGGTCGATTGTGATACAGTGTCTACTGTGACTTATCTTGGACTTCTAACAATATTTAATATATTCCAATTTTCTTCTATTAGAATGTTTTATTATTGAATACTATTTTATATTTTTCTGTTCTGGAACGTCATTTAAAAAGAAAAAAAAACAATTATACCTCGTGTGTTCATAAGTTTTGAGACATACTTTTTACTGAAAAAAATAAACTAAATGTTACAGGCTGTTATTATTTTTTTTAGAATGTAAACTTTAGTTTATTTGTATCGAAAATTCATTTATTTATATTTTTTCGTGATGGAGGGAACAAAACAATTAAGAGCAACTGTTATTTCAGGCGGTAACAAAACCAATACGCGGTAAAAAGACAAAAGTTCTCTACAAGATCGCCAAAGGAGTGGTCGGCCACGCTCTGCGAGGACGCCTGCGAATATCAAAATCATCCGAGAGCGACTTCGCCGAAACCCATGTCGCACTCAGAAGAAAAGAATTTTGTATGAAGGTGTCATTCCGCTCCATTTCTGCCAATAAGGTGTCAAGGTGGAAGCCAAGAATTATCAGAGTGACGGTTTAGAGCCCGTGATGAAACCCCTGTCTGATACATTATTTCAAAAATGAGGATTGGGAAAAGCAGCCAAGCTTGGTTGAGGGAGAATGTGCCGGCCTTCATCGCGGCGGACGAGTGGCCCTTGTCCAGCCCCGACCTCAACTCGCTGGATCATTCTTTATGGACTGAATCAGAGCTCAGGGCCTACCGAAAGTGCCATACAAATTTGGAGTCACTGAAGCGAACCCTTGTTCGAGAAGCAAAGCGTTCGCAAAAAGATTCGTTCCGCCATTGATAACAGGCCAAATCGTCTAAAGGTCTGTATTAAAATATATATTTTATTGATGGTTATTATCTATTTAATGGTTACTGAAAATTTTACAAATTTAAGTTAATCATTAAAAAAGTTACGCAACTTTTATTTCGTCTCAAATCTTATGAACACACGAGGTATATTATGACATTCAACCTTGCATTTTCGACGATAGATCCCTCGCTTACTTCGGAGAAACGTTTAACGCTTATTTTTTTATATACCTATCATAAAACATAATTCAAATGTTAATAAAATCGAATATTGCCCAAAATAAACAGTAAGGAAAAATAATTTAGAAACACACCATGGTTAATGAAATTGATTCTACAAAAAAAAAAAACATTACATCAATACTAAAAAAAGAAAGAAATTAACTCACCAAAGAGTACAGAGTTCGAAACAAAACACGATCATTGAAACCAACCCACAACGTCACTGCACTTTAACATATGCTCGGTGCACCAACTGTCATATCTGGTAACCACTGTGGACGCACAAAAGTAGCCGATTAACTCCCTCCCTGCTCCATTAGGGCTAATTGTATTGACCTAAGCTAACCCGACTGATCTAATTCGGGCACATGATGCATTCACCTTGCTAGGGTTGATCACTGAATTAGGCAATTATAATATTACAAATTAGATTTCGTGATGTTAACATTTACTTATCCGGCAGCAGCCGAGATGCTACTTAAGAATCATATCGTTTAGTCGTTATGGCACAACTAACTGTGTAATTTTACACGTTTTAGAAACTAATACACTGAAGTCTTATTTATAATTCGTATAAAATTCAGTGTTACCGTGGTTTTAGCATATCCGTTCCATCTCAATCGTTCTCGATTTTTTTTTTCAGAGAATCGATTTATTTATTTAGAAAAAAGGATCGTGTAACAAATTTAATAGCAATTCAAATATTGAACAATAAATAAAATTGTCGTAGACACAATAATATTTTTCTCGAGATTCACTATGAGTTTTTGAAGATAAAGTCGTAACGAGACTATTATATACACATGATATAGCTTTGTTTCACTTTAATAAATATATTTAGATTGCATTCGAAATCATGTGGCAAGAACACAGCTTATTAAATAGCTAGTGAAAAGCTTGTTCCGCCAGCGGCTACGCCCGCGTAGTGTCTAGGGAACTCTTTATTTGGATATCGATTTATATCATGGCACCAACATGACACGGATATAATTACATTGAAAAATGGAATAGTAAACATAGGTTCATCTCATTATATGCAAACCCATTTTCATCCCATTATATGCTGTTTTTCGGGATACAATATAGCTTATGTTCACCTCATATCATGTAGATTTTCCTCGTAAGTTGTCTAAGGTAAGGTTAGTAAGATTGTTTTAATCGGTACATTAGTTTTGGAGCTTATTCAACACAAACAAACATACATACAATCAAACAAACAACCAAATCTTTCCACTTTGTAATATTATTCAGTATAAATATGTGAGAACACCCTTCACATTACATTCACACAAAAAAAACTGAGACAGAGGCTCGCACATATAATTTACTCATCTGACTCATCTTGGAACAATACGGTGATGAATGTATGTGTTATATTCAAATTGGAGAATTAGATCACAACATACACCTCAAGAGACAGAAAGGAATACGATGGTACAGTGGTTGGCGCGGTCAGTCTATGTTACGGATATTAAGCAACATTCGCAGCTACCGTCATAGGATAGGTTGCCAAAAATTAATTATCTTGAACTTCACCTTGCTTTGTAAGGTACGTTAAGCCGTAGTACCTCATCTGTAGTTGTTAACAACGATCGATCACTCACGTGGGTCATTATAATCAATTTTCCCTATTTGATTTGATTTCATTGAAAGGGAAGGCTCAACAATGGAAAATAGAAACAGCCGAATGATGATGATGAAACAAAGAGTAGTACGTAACCATTTTCCACAATTTCTCATACTTATTGTGGATAAAAAAAGCTGGTAGCAATTAAAATCGATTTCTGTACGCGTAGCATGACGAACTTAAGAACGTTTTGTCTACACCCAAATGTCACTTTTCTCGGGTGCGCCCATACGTTACCTCACTCTTAACCCGAGAAAGTGACATTTGAGTGTAGACATAGCGTTTCTTGAGTTTGTCATGCTACGCGTACTAGAGCTAAAGGCAACTAGAGTCTATGCCAATATTAAAAATAAAATTCTGTCTGTCTTCTGTCTCTCTACACACACAGACACGATAGATTATATAAAAGCCAAATACATCATTTGAAGTTAAGTCAAAGACAAAATATATTATTTACTGCGTGTCTATATGTGTGTGTATTAGATGGTATTTAATTTAAGGTATAAATGTGACGCCCTGCAAGGCCCTTGCAAAATGTAAAGAAGTGTATTAGAATTTTAAAATAATAATGAAAGAAAGAAAGTTTATTGACCATATCTGTGCATGCACAGTACAAAAATGTGTAAGAAAAAAATATCATTTCTATTAAGAAAAGCCAATAGAGCGGTATAAGGACCCTATCCCAGCGATGACCCTGTGCCACTTCAAAATGGGCAGAATGACAAAAAACGCTACGCGTTATTCTGATAGGGCCCATTGGTAGAGCTAAAAAAGAGATGAAAAAGAAACAAAAAATACAACTTTAAATGCCAAGTGTCTATAGCTAGCTAAAAAAAACCAAAAGCATCATAAAAAGTATATCTGCAGTAACCAATAACTGATGTAGTAAATAGATGATGAAATAATTAATAGAATATAAATACACAAGCAATAAATACAATTTAGGCCGTATGTGCAAAATTCCTATGTCCTTCTCAGAGAACAACACGACCAGTGTAGTTTTTGGTACAAAAAAAGTTTCAAATGTTCAATTGTTCTGTCTTACATATTAGAAGATGCGTCTCCCAAAGTGAAGGTGTTAATTATTGTCTCATAAATATTTTAATTTTATCGTGTACATGAGATTTGCAAAGTGAACATTTTGCTTTCCCGACTGGACACGATCCCAAAATCACCCCAAGCGTTCCGCGAATAACTCAATGAAAAAAATTTTTGTAATGGCAACAGCCAAATTTTGAGTTTACATTTAAATGTGTTGTTCGTTTTTAGGTCACGCAACAATACATGATAAGATAGTTTTAGACGAGGTTATTAAATTAAATTGTGATTATTACTTGAAATATTTTTAATTTAGAAATATTTCAAAATTTAGCTAATATTTGCATTAAAATCATATTCCATTACATCAAAATAAATTAAATTCAAAATTGCTCTTCAAAACTGCATTTGCATTCAAAAATCTTTTATTTGTTACTATATAACATTTATTGATAAGATATGCTTTTATTTATTTATTTTTAATTGTGTAGAATTTCATAAATTTTTATGCTATTTGGTATATAAAGTTATATATTTTAATTAAAAATGTATGGGGCTTGATGTGACTATGCATTTTGGTGAAGGGTACTTTTAGTTAAATTAAATTTCTATTGTTACGTTATAGAAACAAATAGCATTCTGGATACTTCCTACCAAATTTTCAAACTTCAAGAATGTAAATAGATATTAGAGTTACTGCGTGATGATTAACAAAGTATGTCATACATGAGTCCATCTTATACAGGGTCATTTTCTTGCTGCAACTGATAACCATGAAAAGGCTATATCAATTCAGTGCATAAAGTTATACTTCACTGTATCCTGCTATACTATACTATTAAAAGTACACCAATGCTATACTATTAAACATAAAGCGAAAAACGCAGGTTAAAAAATAGCTCTGTCAGAGTTTTAATAATACAATCGAATAAGACCAACGCTGTATTTTAGGGAAGATGTCTAATTTCTTTGTCGGTGCGTCGCGTCGGGTAGATTATCAAAGAATATCCAACAAGTATATTATTATTTATCGCGTAATTAATAAATTACGGAGATACATTGCGTTGAAATTTCTCATGACGTCACAACTTTGTACATTTTCTACATGGTTGTTTAATGTCTATTAACTAAGCTTTTTCTTGGTAAAACAGTAAAAATACGGACGGGATAAAAGAATTTTGTTTTTTTTTTACCCAGGCATCATCCCTATAGCACTGCTGGACTTATAGTGCTATATAGGTGAAGAGCATAATATCTAGTCTAGTGAAGACTATACAAATAATGCTTTTCATTTTTCTTACGAGAAATGATTATTTTCTTTTATCACGTAATTTGTTGAAATAAAAACATTTTTTCCATTTACATTCGCTAAAGACATAATAATATTAAGCTACGGGTACAAATTGCGTATAGTATTCTTTGTCCTAAATTGAGTTGTTAAAGGACTTGTGTTTCCAGATATCAGAAATAACGAAGATCACTCTTAAAAGAGACAACGACAATAAGTAATCACTTTAGTTCACTTCGTCTCCATTCACAGCAGAATTCCAACCTCGTTTACTTTAGGCTCGATACACACAATAGCAGTTAGCATCCTAAACCTTTTCTAACCTAGGTTTAATTATAGGTCTATATCAGTATAAGGAAATATTTGATTATTTGTAATCAATATGTTCCTACATTACAGAGTTGATTTTAAAAATTCTTTGATTACATTACATATATGATTACGTTACATTTACGCGGACAGACGCGGGAAAACAGTTAGTTTTCCTTCAAGATGTGTATTCTCGTAGTATTTGATCACTTCATGATGCGTTTCAAGAAATAATCTTTTTTAATGAAACGGCAACCCAAAACTATTCATATCACGGCAATGTTTATATAAGGTGTCCAAAAATAGTCTTTTCATAAGCCTGCCACATATGCATAAAACTATAGAATAGCCCTCGCCGCCGCTCCTCCGCACATATACTCCTAAAATTATTTCACTTAACTGAATCAAGTAAATAAGTTAAGTTAGTTAAGGATCATTAATTATACGATCTAACCATGACATATAAATTATCTACAATTCTCATACAGCGGTCTACGCTGAAACTTGTGGTAAGCGCAAAATATTACACTGTATTTTAATGATGAGCACAACGCGGTTCTTGTTCGGATTACAGGATACGTTAACAAGCAAGAATATTCCGATTAAGGCAATATTAAATGCTTGATGTGCCTTCCAAAGCATGGAGGAGGTCATATTTTCCAAAACTTAATCTTCTCCCATTAAATACTGGGCTATCAAGTATATTTTAAATTAAATTAAGTAGTGACATACAAGCAGGCTTACTACAGGCAGGTGCTACATACTACCTTATGAAATAATGTTACCTCATGCCCCGAGCTCGCCCGCGTGCGCCCGGCCAGTGTTGTCGCATCCAGCTAGGTATTGATGGTTTTTTATATATTTTTTTTCTGTAATAACTTGAATGACGAAGAAGATATAGTATTTCTAAATATCTTATCTAAAGATGTCATGACAATATTAAGGACAATAAAGAAAACATGC